TTATAAAAAATTCTACATTTATATGTGGATTTGCCAACAATATATTCTTTCACACTATGCATAAAAATAGGGAGTTTTATTTTTATCTGTTACAGAACAGATGAATTTGAAACTTGAATTTCCTTTCTCGGTTCTAATTTGCAGCTGCTTAGTTTAGACATTAAAAAATAATAATAATAAATATTGCAATTTAATTCCGTTTTATTTTGTTTATTTTTCATAACTGACACATTTCCAAACTTTAATGCTTATCAAAAAAATTACGATCACAACTCGACAAAACAAATATCACCACGTACCTTTTTTTCTATTCTAAATAGCTCTAAAAAAATTAACAACACATTTTGTGTAATTAAAGACAATTTTTTTAATTTTGCTAATTCGTTCAAACTAAAAAGAGGGGAAAAAACTTAATCCTCAGAGATATTAGCTTTCTGAAGCAGGACCAATTCCATCAGTCTGATTGGTTAAATAAGTCTGTCATGCTTTTGACATCAAACAGTGAGAAATAATAAAGTTAGGATGAAACGAAACCACGGCAAAAAATGGGGGAAGCTCATGAAGCTATTCTTCATTTTAGTCGCTTCGGCTTAAAAAAGTCGCAGATTTTACGCAAATCATTGCAAATTAATAATGTTTTTACTCACATTTCTACTAAAATAGTCGCCATAGTTGCTATTGCTTTAAAATAGTCGTTTTAGTCTCCAATGGCAGCCCTGAAATGACCTCGTATAAAAATTATTAAAAGAACTAACAGTCATCAGATTAATATTAAATAATTATTCCTACCAAATAACTTCTGGGAAAGATTAGATACTTTCTACTCGGACTAATATCAGTCCATAAAATTTAATAAATAAATAAATAAAAACCTACGCGCAGCGCTAATTACAACAATAATAAACGTTTAGATAAATCAGATGAATAAAGAAGTTATCAAACGCGCTATTAGCAAAGATTTTTCAAGAAAAAAAATCTTAGAATCTTTCCCGAAAATATAATTTAATAATTTTTTAATATATCAAAGAACAGAACTTGTAAAATATTGTAAAAGTGTTTCTATGTTTCTTGTTGTAAACTTAAAATTTACTAAGATCTTGTAAATTAGCCTTTTGGTCTTGTTTATAAATTGTTACTTTAAATTACATGTCTTTCTTTAAGACGAATTTGGATTTCTGATCCCCAGAACATGGGGGGTAACCGCAATCTTGAACAAATGATGCTCATAGGTTGATCAGAAGAGCGGGTCAAAGCTTGGATCTGTTATGTTTGCGTATTTCGCTATATCTCGAGAACTTTTTACGGGGATTTAAAAAAAAAATGGAAAAACAATTATAAAATTCGTTTATTCAAAAATAATTCCCTCAAAAACAAATAACTTGTATTTTGACATGTAAAATTACATTCTTTAAAATAATGCAAAAATTTGCATTACCTTACAATTTTTCATACATTATTAAATAAAATAATATACAATAATAAATTTTTTTTTTTACTTAAAGTTATTTTTTGTATGGAATTTTCTTCGAATGAACGAGTTTTATAATTGTGTTCAAAAATTTTTCAATTCGCTTAAAAATATCTTGAAATATGCAGAAAGTAAAATTAATATTAAAAAAATATTTTATTTTGTCCTTGTCACTCTATATATAATAGTTAGCACAGGTGTCGCTAAAATCTTTGATGTTGCAAAATGCGATATGAGGCGGGTTAACAAATTCAAATTAGCCTACATTTAATGTATACTATTGTCTACTTCGACTATAGGCATTCCTCTCCATTGCTTTCTAATTATTATTAATAGTTGCTTTTGAGGGGATTATTGGGTGGACACTTTAATAATTTTTAGTTTCAAATGAGATTTTTGATACTAATACCAAGTCAAAGGACAGGTATCAAAATTTCAAAAAANTTATGTATAGATAGTTGCTTTTGAGGGGATTATTGGGTGGACACTTTAATAATTTTTAGTTTCAAATGAGATTTTTGATACTAATACCAAGTCAAAGGACAGGTATCAAAATTTCAAAAAACATATACATAAGCTAAGAAATATGTATAGAACATCTTTATAAAATATTTTATTTTATCCTAGTCACTCTCTGTATAATAGTTAGCACAGGTGTCGCTAAAATCGATGATGTTGCAAAATACGACATGATGTGAGTTAAAAAATTCTATGTAGCTTACATTTAATTCATACTCTTGTTTACTTCGACTATAGGCATTCCTCTCCATTGCTTTCCAATTATTATTAGCTGGGGCGGAATAGCCTGGTTGGTTGGGGATTGGGCCCATGTCCAAGAGTTCGATCCCAGATGGGCCAAAGTAAATGGGGACTGATGCACGTTAAATCAGTCGAGTCGCAAAGTCCTCCATGTTCCAATAACAAATCAATACCTATGGGGGTACTGATTCAGGAGTTTCCTTGTCTTCTGGATTGGTTCAAAATTACAAGGCTATGAAGTTGAACATAAGCAGTCGTAAACTCAAAATTGGGTTGGCCGTTCATTGACAAATATAATATAAAATATTATTAATAGCTAGTTTTGACAGTTTTGAGGGGATCCTTTGGAGGACATTTTAATAATTTTTTTGGTTCAAATGACAACTTTGATACTAATACCAAGACTAAGGATAGGTTTCAAAATTTCGAAAAACATATACATATGCTAAGAAATATGTATAAAACATTTTTAAAAATAAATTTATTTTGTCCTTGTCACTCTATATGTAATAGTTAGCACAGGTGTCGCTAAAATCGATGATGTTCTAAAATACGATAGTTGGCGAGTTAAAAAATTCTTTATAGCTTATATTTAATGCACAATTCGGTTATAGGCATTCTCTTTTTTAGTAATAGTAAAAAAATTTCCGCGATAGTGTCAATGTTTCTTTTTCCACCAACGGCTTCCGCGTATATTATACGAGTAGAAACTTAAGGTCCATTCCCTTAGATTAGAGGCCACCAACCTTCTTGTATAAAGAATCATTCTAGAATACTGGTCAGATAGCAAGCATTATTTCTTTTTTTTTCTTCATGGTAAATTCATAGTTATACAGCATGAATCACTTTAAAACGATAGTCACAAAGAGTCATCACAAGTGAAATTATCAACAGGCACATGATGACCTTTACCTTAAATTCTCAATTCTTGAATGCATATTTCAAACGAATTTTGTATTTCAATGAAAAATTCATAAAACCTACATTTTTTACACAAACACACAAAAAGAAACTTTAGGCCCATTCTAAAAGACGTAAATATTTTTCAATTTGGAAAAAGTTTCTTTTAATGGTAAATACGGGCCAAGGTGGTAACTTTTTAAGAACATAAAATTTTAAATGTAATTTCTTTTTTTTGGTGCATTCCATGAGGAGGCTATTTTACAAATTTTGACATGGTTTTAAATTTACAAAATAAATTGCACATATTTGCAGTAACAAAAATAAAGCTTCAGATATTTTCAAAAACATTTATTTTTACAAAAATATGCTTAGTTAAAATTACATTTTTTAAAATATGTAGATGGCATAGCATATCATTTTAAATTTAATACTAAAAACTTTAATAACATATTTGTTATACAAAATAGATTTCATGTAACAAATTAGTCTTCAAGATGATATAAAGTAAGAGAAACTAATGACATTTCAACCTGTGGGAGATTAATTTTGTAAACTTTAACTTTAAACATCATGCAGTACAATTCTCAAACTCTTAACATTGTCATGCAGAATTTATCAAGCAAATTTCATTTTGATTGTAAGAATAGAATTTCACTTTTTTAAATCAGAAATATTATTTGTTAGTATTTATCGCATATAATGTATAAACAATATTTACTTTATTAAAGAAGATGATACTTAAGATACTTTATTTTTCTTTTAAAGAACTTATTAATAATTTTAATAAGCATTTTTTTCTACTTTTCTAAAAAAATGTAGTAGACAAAAATCATTTAGGAACAAAACAAGTGCTTAAAATTTTTTTTATTACCTAAAATGGAAGTATATTCTGTAAAAGATTTCATTTGCTCAAGTGCAAAAAAGTAAAAAGTACTTAAAGTCGAAAAAAAAAAGGAATCAAACATCATTAGTTCATCTTACCTATATTCAACAGACATATCACTAGTATGTAGTAACAATTAACACTTATCATAAATGCTAAGATTAACAGCTTAAGATATAAATTCAAAAACATATATCCTTCAAGAGATAAATAGAAACTTAAATAATATATGAATGCTTCATTTACCAAATCAATGTACTTTATAAAAAAAATATAATATTTTTTTTATTTCTGAAACAAATTATGTTTTATTTAATAACTAAAATTTTTTTTTCTTCTGAAGTGTTAATCAATGCAATTAATACTTACTAGAGAATTTTTTTAAAAATGTTTGCTGCAAAGTTATCAATCTCAAATGCAGCATTTAAATCAATTTTCAAATGTAGCATTTAAATGTTACTTATTCATCACAAGTTAATGAGTAATATAGATGAATCCAACTGCATTCTCATTATAAATACAAAGTTTTATGTTTCTCAAAACTTAAATCTGTCAACAGAAAAATAACCGGTTCCCTTCCAGAAATAATTTTTTGAAAAAAGTCATCCGAAAATTTAAAAATGTCAACATTTTATTAAACAAATTTCTTTCATATCTGCATCTTAAAAAAAAATGCATAGTCTGCATTTTAATTTAAAAATATTCATGTCAGAATATAAAAAAATATATACTGTTTTTTAAATGTTAAAACTTATTCTTTCAGAATTTTCTAGATTCCTACTAAAAGGTTGCAAAATTAAATTATCAAAAACTCTGCATTGACAAATCTTACAGATATAAAATTTTAATACAAATCATAAATTTTAACAAAATTCGAGAACACTAAAATATGAAAAAATAACAAGCGGATAAAAAGGTACTTTGAAAAAATAATAAACATGAACAATTTGCACACACAAAAATTTTCAAAAGTTATCACAAATTAAACAAAAAAAGAAAAACATTAACAAAAAAAAACAAACATTTATTATGGATAATGAAATTATGTAATATGCAATCAAGATGAATAAATATAAAAATTAGTTCAAAGTTTATAAACATACATCATTTTATTCTGAAAGATATGGAGTGCAGCATTCCAAGGATCATTCAACAACCAGGCTCCATGAGCATCAGAAGGTATGGGTGGACGGAAGATTTTTATAGGAAGACCACCTTTTAATGACCAAACACGAGTCTGGTTATCTTTGCCAGTAGCACACAGCAAACCTAAAGTCTCATTTACGCTAAAAGGCTTCTTTTTAACAGAATGGACATGTTCCAAATATTCTGCTACTACTAATGAATCTTTCTTAGCTTCACGATCCTTCAACATTCGGAGATCAAACTAAACAAAAATTATAATCCATTAAAAAATGCTTTTCAGATTAATTACAATAAATCATATGTACAAAAATTTTGTTAAATGATCATGAGTCACCTATTTCTGGGCAATTGTAATTCAGCCAACCAAATACATATCACAGCACCTACTATCTAATAAATAATTTAATTCTAATAAATAATTCACTTAATAAAGTTTGAAGTGAAATTTACTAACACATAGTTATTATTATTATTTTTTTTTTACAATGAATGAAAGATAGAAACCATTTTTGTGAAAGAAACGGCTAAAGTAATAAGCCTGTTTGAAAGCATTTAAAAAAATAAAAAGTAAAGGGGTTTGCATAACTTACCCTGTTCTGTATCAATGAAAAATTAAATTTAAACAAAAATGACTAAAAAAAGTCATACTAGATATAAATGACATGTATATGCACTAACTATCTATCTTATCATTAAAGAAGAAATTATAATGATTTTGAATTATATCTAAATAAAAAGAAATAAACATAATTAGGAAAGATGTGTAAGTCATATATAGAGGAGAAGGGGCTAGACAGGATATTTTTTACAAATTTGTTAAAAAAAACCATATTTAATATAATTTTTAATTCTTGAAATATTTTTTTTAACAATAATTTGGATGTTTACATGCATTCTGGTTTGTATCGGGAATTATGAAGTTTTCCAAAAATAATTTATTTAAAAAAGTTTCTTTTTCTCTACACTTCACGGGGCTGGTGACAAGCAATGTGGCTCAGCAGTGCAAAGAGGGGAAAGGGTACAACCTTCCATTGAGGGTGTAGTTTCTTTTAATAGCACAGGCCTAGTATGAAAAAAATACAAGGGGTCTGATAGCTGAACTTTATGTATCTTTTGGTGCTGAAATGAATAAAAAAAGAGAAAGAAAATGTAATGAAATTTTTTTTATCAAGTCACATTTTCTTGAAAAATTTAATTTTACTGAAATTTTTTGAAAGCATTTTTAAAGTCTGTTTTTCTCTGTGTGTTTCTTGAAACATGGCTTCGAGACGTTGTGAAAGTTTCCCTGATGAGTTTTGTTATATATGCGGCGTTGTTAAAAATCGCATGAGGAGCATTACAGACTATGTAAGACAACTTTTTTTGTTGCATATGACTCGGAAACCAGGACAAATTACGCTTATGGCACCAAGAAAAGAAGACTGCTTTACGATTTGGAATTCCTATGACGTGGAGGGATCCCAAAGACCACTTTGATGATTGTTACCTTTGTTCTGCCATGTTCGTGTGTATAACTGGAAAAATCAAAGGCTAAAATCTTATCCTAATGACATTATATGTCCCGTTCCTCATGAACCTGATGTGCCTGTGCCTCTAACTGAATTGCCAATCATCTCTTCAAAGTCTTCAGACTCAGAACATCCGGAAGTTCAAGGCTCCAATATCGAATATAAGCCATCTGTAGTCGGTTCACCTCAGCCCTTCTCTCAGGCTGAACTTAATGATCTGACTAGAGATCTGGGTCTTTTGAAGGAGGCAGCTGAATTGTTAGGCTCCACACTGAAAGAACCACTTGTTGGCCAAAGGAACATCTTTTATATTGGTACAGGAATTGAGAAATGGAATTTATTAAATTTTGATTTTCCTGGATTGATGAGAAAATTTAATGTCATCAACGATAAAGATGAGTGGAGGCTGTTTATAGATTCAACTAAAAGAAACTTCAAAGCTGTCCTTTTTCATCATGGGAGCCAGTATGCATCTGTTCCAGTTGGACACTCTGCATTTTAAAAGAATGCTATGAAAACCTGACTCTCGTCCTGAACAAAATAAAATATATCGATCACAGTTGGACCATTTGCGGGGATTTGAAAGTTATCTCTAAGCTTCTTGGTCAATAAGGAGGATCTACAAAGTTCCCATGTTTCATTTGTGAGTGTGACAGTCGTGACAAGACTCAACATTGAATGTCAAAAAAGAATGGCTGAAAATGGCTGAATGGGTCAAAAAAGAATGGCTGAAAATACAAAATCGGCCATTATTTTCCCAGGCATCAAGAATGTTATTTGAAACAGCTTAGTTTATCAAAAAAAAAAAGTATCATTACCTCTGCTACATATAAAATTAGGTGAAATGAAGCAGTTAGTCAAGGCTGTTCCAAAAGACAGCGATTGTACCAAAAGACAGCGACCTGTACAAAAAGTTTCCAGGTTTATCCCAAGCCCAGTTGAAAGAGGGACTTTTTGTTAGTCCAGATATCCGCAAACTCATGAAGGATTAAGATTTTGAGACTAATATGACAGCAACGGAAAAAGAAGCTTGGGTTACTTTTAAAGATGTTGTTGGTAAATTTTTGGGTAACTACAAGGATCCTGATTATAAAGAAATTGTAAAGAAAATGCTGGACGAATTTAAAACTTTGGGTTGCTCCATGACTGCGAAAATGCATTTCCTTCACTCACATGTGGACTTTTTCATTGAAAATTTAGGAGCAGTCAGCGAAGAACAAGGGGAAAGGTTCCATCAAGATATCAGAGATATGGAGCGTAAATATCAAGGAAGATAGGACAAGAAAATGGTCGCTGACTACTGTTGGATGATAGCTCAAGATAGATCTGAGATTAAGCATAAAAGAAGATCATCAAAAATAAGTTTCAGAGGAAAACGAGTATGTACTTAAATAGAAACTTTTTTCTTTTGTTCTTTGTTTGTTTTGGTTTTTGTTTCAATCTTTCATGTACACATACACAATATTTTATATTCTTGGTCAATCACCAATTTTACAAAAATTATCTTAATAAAAGAAAATTAAAATTGTATGTTGGCTATTTTCTTCTGGAAACTGATGTTTTCTCCTAACCAGAGGTGACTTGAGCGATCTGGCAACAGTATTTTTATTCATTTTAGAAGATTAGTTAATCTCTCAAAAATCAGTTCACATTAAATTTTACATTGATCAAAATGAAAATGATCAAAAGACGACAGTTACCAGATAGTACATGCACAATTGTTTGAGAGAATTCCGTTCCAAATAAGATTTCAGAATAAAAACATCAATATCAATTTTGCAAAAAATCCTGACAGGATTGGGGAAAATGAAAGTCATATTCGAAATCATAGCATCAAATAACATAAAAATCAGCAATAACTTCTCTCGTAATTTTCAAAAACTTCAATTTTGCAGGCTTGTGTAATTGGGAGGACCCATGTCTTTGGAAAATTTTTTTGCTTTATTTACGAAAATTTTAATATTTTTTTTTATTATGAGAGTAAAAAAAATAAAAGAAAAAAAGAGCTGCATAACAAAAGTGTTTAAAAAAATAAAACAATCGCTACTCGAGATCTTCTTTCAAAAATGCAGTGAATGCTCTTCACAATTAAAAATTGTTTCGAATCCATCATTCACCCCCAAGGTGTAAAAAAAAAAAACTGGTTAAAATTTTTTCAAGTTACATTTTTTTTTTTGAACAGTGGTATCTAGAGCCATGACTACATATGCCCTGTATTATTTTTAGATTAAACTTCCGAAATAGCATTCTAGTTTCCAAAAAAGGGCATCAAAATATGGTGCAGGCAGACTATATACATGAATTATTTCTGGATTAAACATCCAAAATTGCGTTACAATTTCTAAAAAAATAAATAAATAAATAATCAAGTTTAGTTCTACTTTATCCTTCTAGGCCACACTATTTAACTCCTTGTAAAATTATAAAATGAAATCAAGTAGATTCTCTGAGATCTCTAGATGGAAAACAAAACAGAATTGAATTTAATAAACACAATGAACAAGCATAGATAAACTATAGAATCAAAACATGACTGTCGAACCCAAGTTTTACTTAATTAATAAGAAAATACATTAACTTTAACTTACTTTGCATACTACACCATCAAATGATCCCAAGATGATTTCTTCTTTGTTCCCTAACACACAGCATTCATTTATTCCAGAGTCAAAAAGCTTCAGATTTGTAGGTTCTTCCCGCATTCTTAAATCCATTACTGAAAAAGCTCCATTATGAAGACCACAGTATAAGAGGTCTCCAGTATCATTATATTGGATTGAATGTACATTTCCATAAGCATGTCTACTATATAAACGCCCCATAGAATTTTCAATAGTAACTGAGAGTTCGCTTCCAACTGCAAAGTTTCTTACAAAAGAGTTGCAGCAGCAACTGAATACTGTTGATTTATTCAAGTGATATCTTGCAGGCTGTATATTTTCTTCTCCACCAGCACGGTGAAGTAAAATAATTCTTCCACTTTCTGTCATATAATCATTAGAGGCTATCATGAGAAGTTCTGAATCTCTATAGCCATCACAAAAGTCTTGCACACCAATAACAAAAGCTTTTCTGAAATCAACTTGAGGATCTAACTTTGATGAATCAATATAAACTTCCCCTACAATCTGGTTCCATTTATCTTTAGTTTTCCATAATCCAAAAATATTATGCTGACCACCTTTAATCATCAATACACTTGGTGAAAGTTGATCACTGACTGCCATTACATTTTTACTTGAATCAAAACTCACATCAGTTTTTAATTTTAAAAATGGCGATTCAATGCTAAAATTCTTACGCATTCCATATTCTCTTTGTTGAAGCAAATCAATCATGCTTTTAGGTTTAGGAAAGTTCATTTGAGAAACTGTCTGTTTTACTTCAATTTGCATAACTTCCTTTTTCACATTTGCCCATGGTCCAGTTGCTTCTCGATAGTACCTTTTTGTTATGTGATCGTAAATATATCCTGGAATATCCATTTTTACAATTCCTTTAAAACGAAATTAAAAATGATAATCACTTCGAAATACTAAAATTAATTTAATATGATTCAACAAGATGTGTTTGTCGTTCCTAAACAAAAACAGAATTCTAGAAATGGTATTAGAATCCAACTAGAATAAATTTTACTCCAAATGAATAACGAGCAACAAGCGTGTTCTTATATGTTCGTGTTCTGATTCTGATATTTGTTTGGTATTGTTACGCTTCCAGCTGCCTATTTCTTTTACGCATGAAGGTACCCAAGTTCCCCAAGTATTTAAGATATTGAGACGGTTATTCTTTATATTAATTAAATAATGAAATATAAATCGTAAAATTTTTACTTACATTATGTTTCTTTTTAATAAAATAAGTTCATCAAACTGTTTTTTCATCTAACTGAATTAATAATATATAGGCTATATTTAGCATAGGTAAGTTAGTGAACAGTAATGGGAAGCAGGATTCGATTCTAAGTTCTAATTGTAAATGATGAGAAAAAATATGTTTCAAAACCAGAAGGGAATTATTAATCCACGTTAACAGCCTGTATCACTCAAGATTTGCTTTTATTTTGTCTGCAACTATTAATGATTTTAGAGTTGAACACAGCATGCCGTTATATTTGTAACTATAATCTGTGAACGTCCTATAACTTCATATCTTTTCCTGCCAGCATGGCAAAAGCTGTTGCTGAAGATTATAGATCATCGCTTCTTGATCTAAATTGCAATAGCAAACCTCATATTACCATGCTAACTATGATAGCAGAGGAAAATATTAAGTATTCTTCAGCGATAGTAGATACTATTGTTGACCACATTATGGAAGTAAGTTCGATAGATTATCAATTTCTTAGAATGATGAACATATATATATATATATNTATATATATATATATTTAAATAGCAATTTTTAGTTTAGCTTGTAAGTGAAAAGTTTATCATTGTGTTTGTAGAATTTCATTTGTGAATAAAACGGTTTAATGGATTAATTTAATTATTGATTTATTTTGAAACTTGAAAGGAGCAGAAGCTAGAATCTTATTACAAAAGTCTAGAAATAATAATTTGAACCAAAGAAACTGTTTAATAATATTGTTGATATATTAGTTGTAATTCTTTAATAATAGTTTATTTTAACCTAGAATAGGGTAATCTCAGTTTTATTAACCCATTAACTGTTCATTATGGACTCAATTTGAGCTACTATGTATTTTCTTCCCTACCTCTATTTATTCAATATTAAATGGAGATACTCTGCTTGGCTTCCCAAGTAACCTATTAAATTAAAAAGATAAAAGTATGGTTTCACTCTTTAAAAACTCTCAATTTGTTTATTTTGTTTCTTGATCTATAAAAGTATTTTATTTTTATTAAATTGGCTATAAATGCCAAAATATTCCCATTAAAATCCATGATATTAACCTTTTAATTGCAGCTAGTCCGGTGAAAATTGTTACATCAAAAACAGGAATTTTTTTTAAAAATATAATCAGGCAAAAAATTCATTTAGTGATTTATAATAGTACATTAAAAAATTGAAATTTTTAAGCTTTTATATGTATTTTTTAATCCTGTCAAAATCATACAAATATTGATTGAAAACTCATAAAAAAGTATTCAGCTAATTTGAAATAAGAGTTTTTTTCTTCAGCAAAACAGCATAGTATAAAAACTAAATATGGAACAAAGAAAGAATTATAGATCATTTAGATGCAGGAAAAATAAAAAACTTATTTTCGGAGATAAATTTTAAGAAAGAGCATTAAATCTAACTAAAATATATTTCTAACAAAATTTACTTATTTCTATTTAATATTCTAAATAAATGTCCTTTCCTGTTTTTGTTGGTGCCTATAAAAGCAATATATTTTTTTTATTTGAGAAAGATTCCTTGGTTTTGTTTTCGGTTACTATTTGGAAAAATGTTAATTTTCCACAATTTGCTGACTAACAGATAAATTGACTAATGAGTCAGTTGAACTTGTATATTTACGTGAGAGAAGTTGTTTTTTCAGGGATAGTGAATTTGATAATATATTGAAGAATTTATTTCAGAATAGTATAAAAGAAAAGTCCAGCTTTTGATTTTTTCAAACAGAAAAATAAAGCATTAGAAAACAAGTACTGTAAAAAAAGTACTTAAGCATCTAAACATTCCAATGCCAAAAAAAAAATGAAAAAGTGTTGTTTACATGTCCTGTTGATTTTCAGAAAATTCTTGATTGTCATAATATTGGTAAGCCTTATCAAACTTCTAAGAAAATGTGTAATTAAGATGCAAGTATGTCAATATGTATCGAACCAACCTTTAAGTAGTTGTAACAGTGCTCGACTGTTCTCATCTGAACTATCTGATTTAACACAAAATGAAGTTGCAACCTTCATGCTTATTTTCACAAAGAAGCTTAGGTTTACAATCTTTTGTAGATCATCTGAAAACTCAAGCAAACTAAATTCTTAAACAAAGCCTCATAAAAGCCATATTTGTAAATGTCTACCATGATTGAACATCTTCTGTGGCTAGAATTTTTTAAGGAGATCTGACCTGCATTCATTCCACTTATAAGATATGGTGTTGCTTCTACTTACTTGTATGCTCAATATATTAAAGTGGAAGGCAAAACTCGGACTTATATTTGTAATGTGATGGGTGGAGAAATTTGAAAAATAAACATTGTAGCTTCTACACCTGAACTACTTTTTGTTGATTTTGTTATAATAAAAAATAAGACCCAATGTAACCTATTTGTCTGTACTTATTTTAAATGTTATTGAAAAACAGATCTGAAAACTTTATTGTGGTTATTAGAGAGAAAACATCAGTGTGAAAGCTGCATTATCCAGAGTTTAGGGAAAATATCCTTCAATTATAATTCTTGGACCATCACATTTTGCTTCTTTCTAGCGCTGTTGTTGAGGTTTTAGACTGTATGACGTTTGAAATGCAGTTGATATTATTAAAACAGATAAAAGTATTACAAGCCTTATTTAATCACAACCATTCTGACACAGAATTTCATTAAATGGAAAACAAGGTAGGGTAGCAATTTATTTTGTTTGCAGAGCCTTTTCTTTAAAACTTAGCTGTTAGTCAAGAAGCTTATCTTTCCTCTGACATAAAAAGACAACTGCTTGATTATGTATTTTGGGTTTGTGTTGAAAATATGATTAATTTCTTGAAACCTATTGCAGACATGACTATTGTAATAGAGTTCGATTCTCCACACATCCATGACATATATTATAAATTTAGACAACTGGAATCAATCTATAAAAAATAAAGTGAGTTCTTAAATTTTTTTTATCGAAACTGCTATAAGATGGTGGAAACTGAACCCAAATCAAATATTTTATAATATATTTCCAAACTTCTATTGCTATGCTATTTTAACATTTATAATTCTAATTTATTAATTCTCATTTGAAAAAAAAAATAAAGTGCATCACAATCAATAAAAATTATTTTCTGATATTACACCAGGATAGTATTTATTTACATTATTGAAGGAAACTCTTCTAATAAGTGGGAATGTTAATAGTCTGTTTATTGGAAGAGTTATAGTTAGGTTATTAAGAGTTATGGTTGTAGAAATATTTTATAAAAAATCAGGCATTTGTCTAGGCCAAATTTATTACTGTTTAGCAGTACCTTCACAAATTCAACTTTAGGAAAAACTAGTTTCACAAAATACTACGATAGAAACGATAAGTCCATATTTTTGTGCTGATTTTTTAATAAAATTTTTAATTTTCACAAATTAGGGGAGAGGGGAGGAGTATATTTCAACATGGGGCACCTCTCAACAACTACGATTTCTGCCTTTTAATATTGCTTAATGATTGGCCAATATGCCAGACAATAAGCTTTAATTATGCATAACTGTTGACATTTAGTTTTAAGCACTTTCTTTTTACCACTGTTGTGTTACACTGTGGAACAGGTTTTAACATTCCAAAAGGCAGTTTTGATTTTAAAACTGTTTATCTACCAGTAATCTTTTAATGAGGGAAGTGACATTTAATCATCTACTAGTTTATTTAAATCTGCTTCTAACTGTATTATTTATTTGTAAAAAGTATTTTTTTAAAGTGGTTGATAATACTTGAACCAAAATGTCTGTACCAGGGGCAGATTTCAACAGTGTTGAAAGGTGCCCCGGGCTTATTATTTTTTTGTTAAGCAATCTTGTAAAAGTCAGTCTGCAAAAAGCCCATTAATTACAGTTGTTACATTTAAAATACTCAACTTTTTCTGTAAGGCATTATTCTAAATTTTTTGAAAAACATGTGAATGTGTTCAAGGAAGCATGTTTGTAAAAAAAATTTAAGTTATATGAAATTTTTTTAAAAGCTTAAAATCAAGATTCAGTTAGTTGCATTGTTGATGAAAATAGAATTTATTAACAAGGAATTCATTAAAAGATTCAATAAAATAATTATTTTCAAATTTTATAAAAATATTCAAGAAAATTTGATTTAGAATAAAAATTTAATTTTAAGAAAATTGAAAAGTTTACGATGTAACATTATATTTAATAAAATGATGAATCCTGTTATTTTACCTTCTTACAGTTAAAAATGGTGCGAACATTTAAAAAAAAAAACTCACTAAACCAGAAGTTAGTGAAGAAAAGCAATGGAAGCTGTCAGAAATAGTGCACCTTTAAGAGCAGCTGCAGACTTATTTGGAATGGACTTTTCAGCTTTATTTTATAGATTAAGAAAAACGAAAGTCAAATAATGGTTTGGTTGGTGAAACCAAAAATGTACAGCTAACACAAAATGCTACAGCTCTAAATATACAATTCAACAAGCTATAGATTCAGCAAGAAATAGTGCACCTTTAAGAGCAGCTGCAGACTTATTTGGAATTGACTTTTCAGCTTTATTTTATAGATTAAAAAAAATGAAAGTCAAATAATGGCTTGGTTGGTGAAACCAAAAATGTGCAGTTAACACAAAATGCTACAGCTCTAAATATACAATTCAACAAGCTTTTGATGTCCAGCAAGAAACCCTGCTTTGTGAATACATAATCACACGTTCAATTCTTAATTATGATCTAGCTTACAGACAAGTTCGACAACTTGCCTATGATTACGCAAAGCGTTTCAACTCCAAAATTCCAAGTAGCTGGGACAAAAATAAAACTTCTGGAATTGACTGGGTTAAAGGTTTTATGAAATGTCACCCACAGCTTACTTTAAAAAAAAACGTAAAACACCAGCTTCACAAGAGCTGCAGCTTTTAATAAAGAAAATGTTGAAGAATTTTTCAACAATTATGAGAGAGCTCTTACTTTCAGTCATTTTACAGTTGATCAAATATATAACTTGGATGAAACTGGAGTTTTAACAGTTGTTCCAGCTCTGAATGTTGTTGCCAAGTTAGGAGCTCGTCAGGTGTGGCAGGTAGTTTCTGGAGAGCGAGGAAGCATGATAATCAATACTTTAGGAAATACTGTTCCTCCCGTATTTGTTTTTGCGAGGGTAAGGTTCCATGACTCTATGTTATTTGGACCACCACCAGGTAGTTTAAGTTTAGTCAACAGTCCCAAAAGTGGATACATGACTGAACTTCTTTTTCTCAAGGTTCTCAAGCATATTAAAAAGCATACACGAGGTTCAACAGAAAATAAAATACTTTTGGTGATGGACAATCATGAATGTCACTGTACACTAGATGCTGTGCTGTTTGCTAAGGATAATGGTATTGTGCTAGTTACCCTTCCTCCGCATTGTTCTGTCTCCAGCTCTTGGATGTCAGAGTCATAGGGACATTCAAATCTTATTAGGCTTGACTTAAGATATTTTCTTAGACCATAAAAACACTTATTGGCCATTGTGATTCTCATGTGTTTTTCTTGTGTAGTGTCGTTTTTATTGTTAATCTTAGACCCCAAATAGGTAAAGCTATCAACGACTTCGAATTTGTATGCTCCAATTTCAAACTGTGTTTCTTCATAGCCAGCTTTTGTGCAAGGCATATATTTAGTTTTATTTTCATTGATTCTTAATCCCATCTTAATGGCTTCCTTCTCCAGACATAAAAAGGATTGTGTTAGTGCTGTCTACATTCGAGCGATAATATCTAAATCATCAGCAAAAGCCAATATTTGAACTGATTTGTTGAAGATATTTCCTCGGGTGTTGATGTTTGAGTCCCTTACTATTTTTTCTAATGTTAGATTAAAGAGGAGACATGCCAAGGCATCTCCCTGTCGTACACCATTTTTAATTTCTATTGGATGGGAAAGACTATTACCATGATTTTGGTTTCACTTAGTGTCAAGCTAATCAACTTCACTAGTTTCTCCGGTATATTAAATTCTCTTAGGGCTGATAATAGAGTTTTTCGGCTAAGACTATCGTAAGCTGTTTTAAAATCAATAAATAGATGGTGCGTGTCAATACCAAATTCTATTGTCTTCTCCAAAATTTGCTCTGTGATGGAGCACCCCTTCCTGAATCCAGTCTGATAATCTCCAATTATATTCTTGACAAGTGGGGAGAGTCTTTTGAAAAGGATGTTAGAAAATTCTTTATAACTTGTACAGAGCAAGCTAATTCCTCTGTAGTTTGATCAATCTAGTATATCTCCTTTCTTATGTATCACACAGGTCATGCTGGTTTTCCACTCTTCAGGGATTAATTCTTGCTCTCATATAGCTCGTACCAGATCATATATTTTCTTCGTGACACTTGTTCCCCCCCCACTTTTTAGAAATTCTGATGGGATTTCATCGGGGCCTGGTGCTTTATTGTCCTTTAGCTTTTTTATTCCCTCCATCGACTTCTTCTAATGTTGGTGGTTCCACAATATGTTGGTTATAAATTCCAATGTCTTCTGTAGGTGGTTCATGTTCATCGCTAGCTCCATTCAGTAGTTCATAAAAATGCTCATTCCATCTCTCCAATACCTGCATTTTGTTAGTCAAGATTGCTCCATTCTTGTCACGACATGAGGTAGTTCTGGGTTTGAATTCCCTTTGTCCTAGGTTTATTTCCCGAAAGAAAGCTCTACTTTCATTAGATCCCCTTAAATGTTCAACAATTTTTAAAAGATCCTCGAGAAATGCATTCTTCTTTGTTTTATGAATTCTCTTCTCCTCCCTTCTTGCCTCTTTGTATTTAATCTCAGCATTTCTAGAATGTCTCTTATTCAGCATCTTTGTATGCTTCATTCTTTTTTTCTGTTGCCATGTAGCATTCACTATCAAACCAATCTTTCCTTTTAGTTTTCTTAACTTTACCAACAACCTCATTACCAGTCTTAAAGATTGTTTCCTTCTTATCGTTTATGCTATCTTCCTCCCTATGGTTATCCTTAGAGTCTTTAAGGTTACTGTCAATTTGATTCTGGAATTTGAGCTTAATTTCCTCATCTTTTTGTTGTTTACAATCAAACTTTTCCAAACATTTTCCTCGAATCTTTCGAATGTTGGAGATTCTAGCTCGTAGTTTTGCTATTATTAAGAAGTGGTCTAAATCTAAGTTGGCACCTCGGTAGGTTCTTACGTCCTCAATATCCGATTTATGCCTGGAATCAATCAAGAATGGTCTATTTGATTGAATATGATCCCATCAGGAGATCACCAGGTCATTTTATGTATCTTCTTATGCTGGAACATTGTGCTTGGTATGATCATATTATGATCTGCAGCAAAGTCAATAAGTCGCTTTCCATTGTCGCTTGTAGTGTCATGGAGACTAAATTTGCCAATTATTGATCTAAATTCCTTTTCCTTTCCATTTTTTGCATTTGCATCCCCTAGTAACACTTTGACATCATTTTTTGGGCAGGATGCATATAAAGCATGCAGTTCTTCATAAAAGAGCTCCTTTTCCACACTGTCCTTGTCTTCAGTTGGAGCATGAAAAGTAATGAAACTCTAGTTGAAAAAGCTGCGTTAATCCTAATTTTACATAGTCTGGATGATTTGGTGACATAATCTATTAATAATGGCCTAATCCTTTTACTCAGGATAAAGCCTGTTCCAAATATGTTTTTTCTTATCACAACTATAGATAACTGTGTGATTTTTCTTTTCAATTATTCCATCTCCAGTCCATCTGACTTCTTGGATGGCCAGTATATTGATTTCATAGTTTTCAATTTGATCAATCGGCATTTGTAGCCCTTTATTCCTGTTCAAAGAGCGAATGTTCCATGATCCTACTCTCAGTTCCTTAAATCCTTTTCCAGTTCGTCTCCGAGAAATCTGTCCAGGCATATTAGCTCTTTGAGAACTCATAACAATTGTTTTTTTTTTGTTTTTTTTTACAGGGTGAGGTTGTTAGCCTCACGCCTAATCCCCAACCTGGAGGACCAGGGTGTTCCTCTTTGTCTGGTGTCTCCCCTCCGACCTGTCCGGCTTGGGTGACCCTACCAGGAGCCGAAGCTCCCGCCGGCATAGCTCTCGGGATCGACGACACACACAAACCACAACGCCATGTTAAAGTGAGAACACCATTGCTGTGGAAACTTTGATTTTATTAAAGACAAAATAATGTAGAAAAAACCTAAATCAATCCAGTATGTTCATTCATTATTTTTATTGTTATATGAATAAGGTTAATTTTCCGAAATGTATGATATTGTTGCGTTCCTTTTGATTGTTGAAATGTGCCCCACCACCTGTTGAAAACTACCCCCCAGGAGGGGTAGATTTCAACAAAATACATGGTTCACTAAATATGTAAAATTAGGTACTTTGTCTTTGGCTTAGACCTTTGGAAAAAATTGAGAGGTTACCTCAAATATCAATTTAATAAATAAAAATTAGAACTTTTGAAAGGAATAAAGCTTCCCAAATAATTCTTAAGTGAAAACTGTTGAAAGGTGCCCCCCTCTTCCCTATGCCTAAATTTTCACAAAATAGGTACCTCTCGGAAAAACCTAGACAGACCCCTGGAAGTGTTCTTTTTTTTTTAATCCATTATCTTTTTATTATATTATATGTTTAATAGAATTCTGTGTGTAGTGAATTGGTGATATCCTATCTTTAGTATTGTTAAAATTTTTATGCGTCTTTTAATATTTTTGTATCTGATTTGTTATAGAACTTATTTCATCACAAGATTCTAAAAAAAACTTTCGTTGCTTTTTAGGTTCATCCTAGTTTGAAATTACCATGTCTTTACCTTGTGGATTCTATTATGAAGAATATTGGAAAACAGTATCTTACTCTATTCAGTGATCAGATAATTAGTCTTTTCTCAGCTGTTTTTGAAAAGGTTTGATTTGCATATGCCATTTATAACTTATGTGTGTTGATTATTTTTATATTAAAAATAAACTTAATTACAATGCTCTGCAGTAAATATTGCAATATTTTCCACTACGAGGATCTTCTAGAAAGTAATATTACTTTCTAATAGGCTAACCAATATTTCATGGTCAAGCTTTGTGCAAATGAAGTTATATCCTTTTTGCTTAAAATTGCTAACCTCTTTAATATATTCACCACTACCAAATATATTCATTCCTTCACTAAATCATTAAGTTCTTGCAGCTTACTTATTAGTTTTGAAATCTGTTCTTTTTTCTCTAATTTCTTGCTTTAACAGATTTTCAGTTTCCTTTGATTTCATACTTGCACAAATTATATTTCAGCTTTCCTTGATGCAATAGTTTGAAAGCTATCAAAATTAACTCCTTTCTTGTTTTAAATATCAGTATAAATTAAGCATATAAATAGATATTTTAGATATAAATGTTAATATTAATGGATGAATCAAAGGGTAGAGAATTTTTTGACCGTGCAATATCACCTATCTTTTTTATTTTTTTATATTTTCATCTTGGACTTTTTCCTTCTATCTTTCTCCACATTTTGTTTTAATTTTTTAAAACATCATATGAAGTGAAAATTTATATTCTTTGCTGTAGAATTTTGAGATTTTTGAAGATTTCGAATGTTTTAACCTTTATTTAGCTCCTTAGTTTATCATGTGCTTAGTTAATTTATTTTAATTTTATTTTAATATAGATTTGTTTTAAATAGCTAAAAATATTGGAAATAAAGAATATTTTTTATTTAATTTTTCTTTATTTTTTCTCTTCATATAATTTTTTTAAATTCATTTTAATCAATTTTTTTCAAACTATTTTAAATGTTACTCTTTGTGGTAATAAATTTTGTTAATTTTATAACAAAACTGTTCTTACTATTTCTTTGACTATCTATCTTTATTTTTGGAAATTACTTTTTTTCCCCTGTGGTATTGTACATCATTTGCAAAATTTCTTCTATTGCAATCTTGATTAGAAAAATAAATTATTAATTAAAAGGATAAAACCAAATGTGAAGAGTAGAATAACAAAAATGTTAAAGGAAAATGTGAAATTAAACAAAATTAATTATGACTTCAGTGCAAAAACCTGGACCGTCTAAATTATCTATTATTAAAATAGATAGTGATATTTTATTGCTTCAATAAAATGGGCAAAGGAAGTTTCTGAAAGCATTAAGAGTAATTTTTTTATGCCATTTCACTTAATATTCTCACTTAAATTTTTTTTTTTTTGCACTCTAGATTTTTTCCTATTCTTTGTCAATTTTTTTTAGAAATTTCTTAACATTTTATAATGTTCACTTGTTTTACACCTTTAAGTGTTGTCGCTGAAATATAAAAAGCCAAGTCAAGAGAAGTAAAATCCCCCTTCTTGATTGATTTGTAAAACTAAGCTAACTCAGAATATAACAGAAGAAATAGTTACTGAATCAAATTTTTAATTTTTATTACAACTTTGAGTAGTCAGTGATTTGCTTGACTTTGGAAACTGTGGGTCATTAAATCTAGGATTTCTGAATTTCTACGTCCCTTTTATTAATAGGGGGGTTCCTATTAAAAATAGGAATTTTCTACCTCATCATCCATCTATTAATTTGTACATTCATAATTATTCCGTTGATTGACAAAAAAAAAAAATTCAAAACAAGAAAAGGATTAAAACTGGGTTATCAAGGATTTTAATCAAGACAGATTAATTGACATTTGCATTAAAGAAAAGCAACAAGTTATCAGAATTATTTTAATTTTCTCCATTAGATACTACAGTACAGAACCCGTTATCCGGAAATCAGTAAATCGGAAAACCAAAAAACCGGAACGAAATTCGATAAATTTTCCCGACATTTTTTTTAAAAAAAATGTTTTTTTCCTCATAAGATTTTGGGATTTTTCTTTCTTTTTTGAAAGATGTTTACCTTACCATCATTTTGGAAACAATCATTAGTGTATTACTTCGTTTTTTCAAGATTATTTCCAAATAATTTTTTTTAGTTGGGTTTAACAATTAAAAAAACGGCTTTTTGTAGCGATTCAGAAAACCGGAAAAATCAGTTATCCGGAATAGCGATGGTCCCGATCGTTCCGGAAAATCGGTTCCCTACTGTATAAAATTTTTTATATTTTTATATATATACTATATATTGTTTGCGGGTCTCCAGAATAATTAATGCAAAGTTAGTTGGGACATCTTTTATTGTTAAATATAACAAAGAATGACAGAAGAACATATACCTATACAGGTAAAAAGCAGCTGTAGCTATGAGGGCTGGAACATGAATACATTAATATTGAAGAATAGGCATTTAGAAGAATGACCAAGTTTAGATATTCACAATCGTGCAAAGTGAGCTACTCGCTTACGTTGAAAGAGGGAAATTAGCATTAAATTCTAACATATATATATTTAATGTTTGGTTATAATTTTGTTCGCGCAGTATTTTTTCATACTTGAGAATTACGCATCCCAACGCATGTGTTATAACTTATTTTTTGTATTCCCTCTAAGATTTTTTTATTTATTTGACAGATTATAGCATGCAAGCGGAATTACTGGTAGTATTTCTTTCATTTAAAATAAATCATGACAAACTTATTAAAAAACTTTAAATGCTGTAATTTTGGGAGTTTTTATATACCTAGTATTAATTAATTCAAACTTCCATTACTTTTCCCCCCATTTTTATGGAAACACAATCATTTCATATTTGTTAATGTAAAATTATGCTTTACTTGACTAATGTTATTTGCTTTTTTTTCTTCTTTTTTTTTACCTTTTATACAGGGGTTTATATTATTTTTAATAAGGAACTGCATTTGGTAAAAGGACCCAAAAATTTGAAGTGTTTAAAAACCTGTACTTTCTTAAGTCTTGTGGAATCATTGGACATTTCACAATGACTCAACTAACCAATCAAACTTTGATAGCATTTATGGTTAAAGCCTGTAATTTCACAATATTATTTCTAAATCTTGGTGACTCAATTTTCTGATATAGCTAATCATATTAATATCTTTATCAATATCAATTATAAGTTTATACATTTTATAGAAAATTACATCTTTTGTCATTTCATTTACCCTTTTCAATGGAATATTTCATCACATAATTTATTCTAAATTCCAGCTTGCCTTATTTCAATAATTAGTTTTATGGCCAAAAATACCAGTTTAAAAACATTTTAAACTATCTTTTTGATGTTTACAATAAATTTATTTATGGCACCACCTATTACTATTTACAACTGAATACTATATTACATTTTTTTGTTTCTGTATATAATTTCTTTGAGGATGAAAAAGGGATTGTCTGGGTCGATACCTTTTATCTTTAACTATTTTCAGTTTATATATATTATCCAACGCATTTTGAATTGTTCTATTTTAATAGATTCCTGAGCTAGTATTATATAGTTTGCTTATTAATTATTTAAAGTTTTTGATTTTCAGTAACTTGTTGAAAATATTTAACAAGTTACTGATTAGTAAATTATAATTGTGTCTGATTAGAGTTAATTTTAATTATCTCGAACTTAAAATATTGTCCTTAGTTCTAAATTTCAAATTATGATCAGGAAATTTTTAAAATCTTCATATTCATTTATTTCCTGGGATTCAATCAGTTAAAAAAAATACAAGGCAAAAATATCACTTTAATAACATTTATTGACAGTAATCATAATCAGTTTTTAACTGATTCGATTATCATGCAGTCAAATTTGACCCATCAAATAAGACATTCGATCTTTTTTTTATACAACTTTTTTTATAGATTCTTTATTTTGTATTTCAAATTACTATAAAAATTTTAATATTTGATATACCTTTATATTTAGTGAAATATCATAATAAGTTGTTATTTTCTGCTACAGGTTAGGGTACAGTGGTAACAACTTCTGTATTTAAAATCTATAATGTCTAAAGTTTTCACTCAATCTTTTCATTATTAGATTTTTTTCACATTATCTTGTTCTTTGCCATTATTTTTTGAGCCAACTATAATTTTAACTTGTTGTTGCATTCTAGCATTTTCAGGTGCTTTTAAAAACAAGTGCAACTATTATTGCCAGGTCAGTTTTTTTGTGCAAACCCTAGTAATGCCACTCTAATAAAATAAATATACTCACTTTAATTAGTCATCCTGGGTAAAAGATCCAAAATCAACTTCATCTAATTTAGTCTATTATTCATTTTTAATTTTGTTAAGTAACTCACATTCACGTCCAGGCGACACGATATCATAATTTCTGTAATCTTCTACATTCAAAATATATTAAAGTATTTATGAATTTTTTCTTCTTTCTATTACCCATTATGAAGTTCTCCCTAGGAATTAAAAAGGGAAGGGCGCTGTCTCTCAGAAAAGGTCACTTTGAGTTTTGAAAGGGCACTCAGGGAAGACATTTACGCGCTATAGCGCGTAAAATACGCAAAAAATTGAAATCGGACGCAAAAAAATGATCGCTACGCGTCCCGCGGGACGCGTAAATTTTTNCAAAAGGACCCAGTTTTTTAAAAGTCATGGGTCCCAGGGACCCGGGATTTTGAAAGCCTAGTGTCTTCCCTGGGCACTTAACACTGTAAAAATGTATGAAAATGTGTAATATTACATCATAACTGAATTTTATCCTCAACTAATTTTAAATTACCCTATTATACTATTTATGTGTATGTTTCAAAAAATAATTCTCTCTCATTATCAAAATATGAAAAAAACTTGTAGTTTATTAAAATAATTAAAGCTATGTTGAAAGGCAATTTCTGTGCATAAATTTTTTTCAGAAAAAGTAAACTAAAAAAAAAGGATTAATTGAAAAACAACTTGAAAGATTTTTTTCTATAATTTAAATTGAGAATTATAAGAAAATAAACATTTAGGAGTGCATATCTTTAATAAAAAATATTTATTTAAAAAAATAATTTTAAAATCATTACAAAATGTA